AATGTGACCATTCTCTTTCAAGATCCTACCGTTATATCTTTTTGGCGATAGCCATACATTCCTCATGTGTGAGTTCTAATAATTTTAGTTTTGTTCAGGGAATACTTCCTCCACTTCATGATAGTTGTCTTCATCCGCTTATTAATGTGTTTTTCTCGTCAAGTTGCTTGTGATCCCTCCAGGTGTCCCAAGGTTAAACTCTTGCCATGTGTCAGAAACTCTTCTTTTAAACAAAGGCTGAAGGAAAAAGATTCCTGCAATTTAATGTGAAACCTGCTTTCGTAAAATTTGCCATGAAACTTTCTATCAATGCGAGCGAACAATTGATGCATCTTTTTTCCGAGACGATTTTAGTACTACACTTCCTTTCGATGTGGTTAGAGTGTTACAGCGATTTGAAAATGGCATAAGAACCTTCCCTTACTGATCAGGTCATATGGATTTCATTTAGCACAATTTTTTTCTTATTTTGTTTTATATCACTTCTGCAGCCTCTTCTCCTTTACCTGAAGGAAATAAACCAGAGCTGGACTTGTTGAGCAGCGTGTCTGTCAAGGAAACAAATCACAATCCACATCTCAACCATGCAATCAACAATCAGGGTGCGTCTGTGTAGCGAAAGAACTCGAAGCGTTTCCGGACGAACCCGAAGCGCTTCCGATACTTATGTAGTGTAGGCGTAGGTTCCTTTCATGCGCAAAACTAACCTTAACATTGTCATTTACATTGCCTTAAATGTTTGACGGATTTAAAAGTTATAATTTAAGGTTTATCGAATATTAGATTTAATTCCTTTGTGATTTTTCCCCTTTTTTAGATTTTTGGCCAGGCCAAATGGACGGCTTGATGATAGGCTCAACAAAGTTGCCCACCCCTCCCTCCACAGTGTCTCCGAATAACGACGGTGCCGTAGTGGACCTTCTTAGCTGAAGGAGAAATTGAATGCATTTTTTACAGACAAGCATTTTGAAGATTTGTTGTCGTAGAGATCAGCATGGCTTATTCGCTGCGGCGATTTGACCTAAAGGCTGTATCATAGTATTAATTATTGAGGGATTAAATGCTATTATTACCAACTCCTTATGAACTTTACAAATTCAGTTTATTTTATAGATCGCTGCGCGAAAAGCTTTGAACCATGCCACATTTTGTTCGAAGCTCTTCATAAGACATAATTTTGATCTTACGGAAAATTTTGCAGCGAGCGAGGTAATTTGAAGAATTCAAAAGTAAATAGAGCCTGTCTTGGTATGTATTTGTCTTTATGGTAAGCGATTTCGTGACATTTTGGTTTCTAAGATAACTAGTCACGCAAACGTTTGCAATGACAATGACCTTAGCAGTGCTAGATGAAATATTAAAGAACGTTTTGTTCAATGTCAGTCACGAGCAACTGCGCCCCTACCCCTCCCCCCCTTCAACCCAACAACAGTCAGTTGGTAATAAGTTGGAGTTCATGTTGAGTTGGGGGGGGGAGTGGGGGTAAGTGCGCAGTTGCTTAGACATTGACATTGATCCCAACTTTTTGTATGTTTCCTGTTTTATATTCGAAGGAAAAATTGAAAAAAAGGTAGACTTAAGTTTGAACTAGTTATAGCTAAAATGTCTTATCAAAGGTAAAACCATAACTAAAGATGTCTTGATCTTTTTCCGTCAATGATCTGTCTTTCTATGAATTCTTCCTTGTACCGTCTCGTTTACGTCTTCTTTTCCCCCTTCCCTTAATGTTATATAGCATGGTTAATTGTCTGAAGCGAGCTCAGCTTAAGTGGTGTTAAAACGCAGTGTAGATTTTTTTGTTGTAGTATGAAATTCTCCTTACTTGTCGTGAAAGAAGTGTATGGTACGGCTAAGGAGAGTTCACATCTTAAGCTAGATGTTAGAACGATTTCCTTAGAAATGACAAAGAATTTTATGAATTATTGCAAATAATTATTACTTTTTTTAGCCTTTATTAAGATTATGTTAAAACCTTTACCGCAATACAAACGGGAATACTTCTTTGTTATTAGGAACTCTGGACATACACTTTATTATTATTGACTCATTAATAGATAATCCGTCATTTTACACGCTAAAAAATGGATCACGAATCCAAAGAAAGCATTTCTTGAATCATTTTTCCCAACGAAAAATCTCGTCGACTTCCTTAGTGTAATAAACGAGTGAAACCGTGGTTAGTAAGTCTTATTAGCTGTGAAGAACGAAGGGCGAAACCAGTTTACTACGGTCACAACCAAGATGCACACCCCACGACTGTGTTACCACGCCTTGCCAGGCGACCTCCACTATGCACTTGGTTCAAAGTCCAACCATCCTAACGCCACCTGTCCAAAGGTTGTTGCTAAGTGGCCTGGTCGTCGACTGACGATATGTCCCAGGTAGCTAAAGAACAGGGGTAATTTTATTACATTTACCCATGGAGAGAAGTGCAAAAACACTTCCCTCGCGCAAGCTTGCGTTTGTTTCCCTGAAAAAGGCAGAATATAATGCAGGCTTTGTCCTTTCCATCGGGTTTGCTTAAATCCGCTCCTTGATTGGTGTAGATCTCTCAGCCAATCAGATGCAACATCGAAATCAAACTTTTGCGTTTTAGAGTTTGGATATTTTCCTTTTCTTCAACTACTCTCCTTGAATTAACTAAATTAAAGTAGCACACTGAGAAACCAGACAAATCAAATGAAATCGCCTGACAATTCTTTTAATTTAAATTACGCATTTACCTATTTATAGAGCAACAACATATTTTTTAAAGAAAATGTCTACCTAGAGATTTAACGATCAACATTGTTGTAAGTTTGGTAAACAGTTGAAACAAACGAGTAAACTTCCCCACTGCATCATGATACAGCTGAAATATTTGCCTTCCGCCCCTTCCCGAATGTGATCAGTCACCGTAAAATGACTGAAACAGCCTTAATTTTGTTGAACTTTGTTGCCACGGTTCACAATGAGCAGCTTTGACAGAAAAACAGAAAGAGCGCCTTCCAATCAACAATTTCCGTTAAGGTAAACATTTACAAGGCACGATATAGGAATAAGCGATCCACAATTACACGCGACTATTTTGAAAGGCGCATAAGATTACTACAGCTAATGAAAGATAAACACAAACAATAAATTCATGGCAAAAGGACGGAAACCGCAAGCAAGGCTTCTCTAATGATGTCACGCGAATCATTACAGTGACATGTTTTTGGAAGAGTCGACTCGAACTAGCCTAATTTAAGTGGAATCCCTTCTCTCTTGTGGCTGCCAGGAGCTTCTCTCTCATGGCCTCTTCCGAAGAGTATTCCGGAAGTTTAAGGTAATGTACGCACGTATTAACAGACGGGAAAGAGCCATCTCCTTCACTCTCCTTTCTCACTACAGTGAGGCGAGGATGAAGATTGGCGAGACCGCCTGGAGGCAGGGACGAACAACCTGTGGTGAACTGGAGGAACGCCTGATGGGAAAAAAAATTGTAGAGGTTTAAGATAAAATAGAAATAATAGAAAGGCTGATACGGCTGCATAAGCATTAACCTCAAGTAGTATAGCACTCGTTTTGAACACAATCCGCACACGTTCATCGCATCGGCCAGACTCGAACCCAGACCTCTTACTTCACGGTCCAACGCGCTAATTACTATGCCACCGCGCCTCTAACAGACGCGATCTGACGAACCAACGACGACAAATACACTACCATTCATGCAAAGACGCTACACACAAGCATGAACTATTTTCTTACTTTTCTCTCGTCGCCAGTCATGTTAACCAGCACATTCACAAATCTCTGAAAGCCAGGCGCTTCCCGTGTGTATCCAAACTTGGGCTCGGTGTAGTTCATTATGTCTTCCCTGGTCCACTGTGGAACCTGTTCTCCACTCAACATTAGCTGTAGCTCGTCTGGAGTGAATGGACTAAGTTTCTCGATTGGAAACACGGAGTTGAACCCGTCTGCAAAACGAAGGATGATGGCAACGCTTATCAAATGAAGGAATAACTGGTTTTCTTAACTGTCCTGTTAATTTGTTGCTGTTTTATTTTATCAACTTTTACAACCTCAGATCAAACCATTTCATCTCTGAAAAGTAAGTTCCGCCACTACTTTTGCCACTCGTGGTATTTCATGTTCACTTTTGCGGAGACCAGCGATTGCTAGCTTGCAGCATCAATCGAAACACCAAGATACTGTACAATAACTTTAAGAAAAACAACCGAATACTATATCTAAATAACTCGTAACAATCATCCCAAACAACTACAGCAATTTTCAATTGAGTGTCGAAAGAAATTCGAGATTACTCTGCTTTTGCTCCACTTCGCTCTGTGATTGGTCCAGAAAACTCATACCACTCTCTCAACCAGTCATATGTAAAATTTACAAAAATCACGCATTGATAGCCTGCGTTTCCCGCGCTTGAGGCGGTGTGACTGTTTTTTCTTTGATTTCTCATTGGCTCTTCAGGGTATTTTCCCTTCTTCTGATTGGCTGTTGTTATTACATCAGTTTTGCTTTTACGACACTCAATCGAAAAGTGCTCTCAACAATCTTCTCTCATATTTTTTCGTGAAATATCCTTTCACGACATGAAAACCTCATGGTTATTTCTACAATTCGTGAACAAAAATATTACCTCTAAATGAGTCCAACTGAAGTTGCACGCCAGTGTATAAACAGAATTCCTTGACAAGCTTTATGTATTCCTCAGCATTTTCTGTTGTTAACATCTGTTACAAATTATTATAACGAAAATCTAAGTTACAGTTATTGAGAGGCAATTATGATGAACAGGCAAATAAGAGGAAAAGTTAAGTTACAGAATAAGTCGAACCTGCTGTGATGTGCGAATGAAAGGCAAGAGCCACCTTACACTCGGCGACTCAGGGGAGGTGAGGAGAGGGAAGGAGCAAAAATGATTTAGGACGAAACGAGAAGTTCCAGAAATGCTAAATATATTTAACAGCAAATGATGCTGTTAGAGAACCAAAACCTTACTGTGAAAAGATGAGGATACTATTGATTTTTATGACGTTGTACAACCTAGAAACTTTATTCCGCGCGCTTCGACTGTTACACTCACCGAGCGAAAAACATTTGTTTAAATCACAAAAGGAAAAAGACTTAAGTCAAGTATTTAGCTTAATTAATAATTCCCGTGATTTAAAGTGCACCTCAAATATCAACCGTCAAATAAATTTGCCATAACAACGAGTAAAACAACTGAAGATTAACATTTTGTTCAGTAATTCTTAGGGAGCAGCCAATACTACCTCTCCCCTGAACTAGCTCGTTTCGCCCTGGCTAAAGGATCCAACGTTTTCATTCAACATCATGTTAGCTGCACACGAAACGGAATGAACAGATCAAACATTTGCTCGTGAAGCAAAATGTTGGATGAAAACGTTTGATCTAGATAATACGTGGGGATTCATCGAAATGCAATGCCAAGAAACGTGCTTATCCCTATGACTCTTAACAGTGACTAACATCTCATTTCTCCCTACAGTTTACCCTTTGAATCAAACATGAAGGTCACGAGAATAAAGAAAATGATCACCAACTGAAGAAGCTTTTGATTGTTAAACAAATTCTCCTTGTCAGCACATTAGGAAATGTATAGAGAACAGTATGGAGAATATGCAAAGTGAAATTAGGATGCAAAGGGCTAAACAGTCTAACATTTTTGATTTCGTCACCAGTCTTCTCGACACATACCTGATCTCCACCATTCCGTACCAGATCAACTTCGCTAAACCCGTACACTTTAGAAGACGGTGAGAATTGGAAGGTTAGCCTGAAAATGAGGAAATAAATGATGTACTTCACTATTTCATCGATCGTTACAACAACAAACGGGAACAAATAATGTAAATGGGAAACGAACAAAATATGGAAATGAAGGAGCAACAACTCTACAAGGTACGAGAATCGATTAATTGTAGCACAAGTTTATGTACATTAGAGCGCAAGTACAGAAGAATATTTTCCGGCTCTGCACTTGGGGACCAAGCCCCTAAACTTCTCTTCCTACGAACGCTTGGTGACATTTCAAACAACTGTAAAATGGCCAAACAACACGATCGACTGTAACCGACATAATAATTTGGTTTAATCAACTGAGTTGATAATGACGAATGGCTAACGCTCGAAACGTCAGCTTTCAAAATCTTTACGGTGGCCAATTCACATTGTCAACTCAGTTGATACAACAAAATTTTTTTTTTACTCGCCCACCGACGCAGCATCACAGTTTTTTAAAACTTACCCCCCTCATTCATTTGTAACCGACATGGTTTATTGCAATCACGCTACAGTGGCCCGCAGCGTGTAGGGTATGTCTGGTTGGTTTCATGTCTGGATATCGTATAATTTAATACATCTATCTCCACCACAAATGAGTAAAGGGGGTGAGTTTCTACAGAAACAGTAGTGCTACATCGGTGGAGAGTATAACAAGATAATTTGGTTTTATCAATAAGTTGATGGTGTAAAATGGGCACCCTAAAGAGATCGAAAGCTGGCGTTTCGAGCGTTTGCACTTCGGCAGAGCGAGAATTTATTTTTTTTAAACACCAGCCTCTCTCTTCACCACAATTTAGTTCAGGAGTGCTTGGAATTCGATTACTCTAGGGTACCACATATGAAACGATAGAACGGTGTTTCCAAGCACGAACTAGTCACCATTCTCCTTGCAGACATTTTGTATCAGTAGGTTTTGACAAAATGAAAATTTTCCACCTACCCCAGATCGTCAACACTGCACTCAACACCATGAGCTGTTTTCAACTTGAGCTCCGATATTTTTGCCCTCTTCTCGTTAACCGTCAGCAAATTGTCTTTAAGAATGTCATTTTTCCTGGCAACCAATTCTTGTAGTTGTTTTAGGAAAGTCGCTCTGTGCGGATCCACCACTTCCATATCGCTGTCATCCAAGATACTATCAAACCAACTTGGCTTTACAGGTGTGGACGGCATCTCTTCTACGCTTTCTTTAGTTTTTCTCAATTCAGAGTTCTCTTCCTTAGACAGCTCTTCCTCCTCTTCAATAAGCTCTCGTTCCTTGATGGAATCCAAGTCTAATTTATTGATCGCATTTTCGTTCTCTTCTACACTTGGCTGAGGTTGATCGAGCTCGTTAGTCGTGTCCGAGCACTCTACTAGATCCTCGAGTGAGCACGACGCGTCATCGATTACTTGTAAGGAGCTCCGACTGTAAGCCAATGTGGTTTTGCCGTTAGGCGGTGATGCACTACAAGCCAATAGTTTAAGAAACGATAGCGACAGCGGAATGTCCACTAATCGACTGTCCTGCAAACTTTTAGCCAAGAAAATTCCTAGGACGTAAAAGAGCTTTGCCACCCTTTCTGTGTCAGGGGCATCCTGAGGAAGGGGCGCGGGAAAGAGGCCACCGGCGCGTTGCACGTAATAGCCCCTGGGACGAATACCATGACCGATGTCCACCTGAAATAGGAAAGATGATTTAGTGATTCACTCCTTCATGTGGTGTGCACAGAGAGTAAAGAAACATTTTTTCGACCAAAAAAAACCAGTTTCCTTGTACAAACCTCTCTAGCAGTCTCGTCGACGATGGCATCCTCGCAAATCCACATACCCAGGCTCTTTCGTTGAAGCTCGGCCGCCACAAGCGCGTAAAACTCGAGTGAAGGTCCAAGCCCAGTTCCCTCCTCATCCTCAAACTCCACCTAAAAGAGAACAGTGCTATATATAGAAAAAATGCATTTTCGTCTTGACGAAGTAATATGCGCTGAGCCTGGAGTTAACAGAGCACACGAGGTTCTAATGAACTGCTGAATTCAGTTCATTCACCATCACTTGGCTTGGAGACTAAGGGTCTTACTACTGATCCTGAGTGGAAGGAACGCTAATCGGGTGAAAGCTATCCTCTGACATTTCTCCAAGACAGAGCCACGAGCAACATCTACAGGCTGCTCTCTATTCTGTCAGTTTGATTTTCAACAGATCGTATCGTTCTGCGCTTCTGTTAACGACTCCGACTGTGCATACGAAGCAAATGAAGCTTCGCCCTACGAGTAAGGAGTTCGCCTTTGAAACCTTCGCACGCTGAGTCACACTTATCACTGAGCTATCATGTCTATCACACAAGAGACCTCTGATACCATAAAAAAAACATTCATTTCAACCTCTTTCTGACTGTTAATTATTACCAGTTAGTCAGGAAAATTCACGAGTAAATGAGGGACAGACACAAACCTCCAAAACAGACTTTCGCTCTGCATGGAATTTCAATACACCCATTGCCCAATCAAGCAACTGAAAGGCAAACAAAAATGACATTACTACTTCAGGTCGTGGAGCTACAGCCAGTCTGTCTATATTTTCCGAACCTTATATTCCAATCAGGCGAAAGCTCGAGCACTTACGAACAACCGGAAAGCTATAACGTGGGTCTCTTAAAGATTATCTCTCAGCATTTTGTTAGGTTCCCTAGTACCCAGTTCTACTCCTGGGTGGAGAGAGGCACCACGAGAGTGAAGTGTCTTACCCAAGAACACAACACATAATGGTGATCAATACGCATATTCTCCATACTGTTCTCTATACATTTCCTAACGAGCTGACAAGGAGAATTTGTTCACTAATGTGTGATTCGGGGTGATATTGTAAGGAGAAATTTCACATCGTATCACATATCACATATCACACTGCGTCCCGTACTCCGTTCGTAATTCCTTTTTTCAAACCATCCTGCAAATTTCGAGGGACATTTACCTCATCTCCTCGAGGAACCTTCACACGCTCGTGCTTTAATCGACCCACTCGGAATTCGTGTTGTTCTTCTCGCCTGTGACTCAGTGGACGACTTCTTTCCAACGCTACGTCTCGTTTGTTTTGCAGCCATACTATTGCTCTGAGAAGAAATGTTACACATTCACGTCAACCGATGTCTAATGGAGAAAGAACCTCAACCATTGTCACTAGTGTTAAACAATTAATCCCCCTTTTCCCAAGTAAGTATTGGGAAAAGTTGAACCGCCAAAAAAAACAAAAAACAAAACATCAACAATGAGAAGTAAGCTGTTTAAAAAAAAAAACTTGACGAGAGTTAAGGGTACCTTCACATGCTATAAAGAGCAAGAGATTTTCGAGACGTAACAAAGTCAGCTAAGACTCGTTTTGCAAGTAAAACGCGATAGCTTTTGAAGTTCTACTACGAGTTTAGGGGTAAATGCCGCAGGGCTTGGAACGATGGCTGGTTAACGGATACTGTCCGCATTTCTCCATGGACAGCGTAGAATGTCATTTTCCACCTCGCTGCTCTTAAAAGAGTGAACTAAATAGCAATCATTATAGAAGTTATTCGCATTCCAGAAAACCAAAGCAAAACAAAAAACAAAAGATACGCCAGGAAAAAGATGGATTAGAGCAGGATTTGAACAAACGTTGGGACACTCCCTGGTGTCGCAAATTTCCTTTTTGTCGTTGTGATGCGACTTCAATTCACACAAGCGTATTAACTGCCATTAAAAATTGAAAAAAGTATATCTTAAGACTGACGACGGAACCTGCCTGAACTAAGACTACGTTTCTAAAATAAATCCATGGTTGAGTGATCAAAAACTTGTCGCTCCTGGCAGCATTTGATTAAAATTCAACATCTTCTAAGACTAAGAGGACGGCGCCAACGTGCAAAAAAGCCGTGCACAATAGCCCTGTGCTATGGCGATTTCGCGATCGGGATAGCGGATTCTGACCTCATTTGCCTGATAGGCAAGTGGAGTTTTTAGGGCTTCGTACAAATTTCGCGCTTGAAGGGCAAGCTGTGAAACGGTCGCTTTTTCCCCATGTAAGATGTCTTTGCGGCTTTCTTACCTTGAGCTACCGAAAGCCGTACAAGAAAAGTACAGCTGTCTTGTCTCAAAAGGAAACAGGAATGGAAAGGTGCTTGTCAACACTCCACTCCAGGTTGGTAAGGCATTACTGGCTAACACTAAAGGGTCCTGCAGACATGAAAGAAATGTAGAGTAAACATACTGAAAAAGCTCTTATAAGTTCTCATCTGGTCTTAGTCACCCTTTCACTCCCAAGATACAAATATCAATTCTCTGCACTGTCTGCCATACATTTCCTATAAAATTAGCTTTGAGAATTTGGTATCATACCAAGCAACATTAGTAAATTGATGTCTTTCTTTCTTTTAATCTCATCACCTTCCTGCTTGAAAATGTATCGATTTTGTTAAGATAATTTTTTCCTGATAATCGTTGAGAATGAAATGGTTGATTTCCAGGGCTTTCAACTGGCGCTTAATAGACAGGGGGCTTATAAGGGAGGGGTGCTTCTCACAGTGGAGAGGTGCTTCTCACAGGGGCGAGGTTTATTTGAGAGGGGTCATGCTGAGGTTGGAAGCTTCCTTAAAACTTGCTAAGGAATATTATGAGAGTCATTCTTATCTCCCAAAGCATATACGAGTGTGTGGATGTAACCGCCTTTTAAGGAAGAGCGCGATATACATTCACAGTTGCATTTTATCGACATCCGTCACTTCTTACCTGAATTTGTTGCAAAAGTTTAGTTGTTAGTTTTTTACTTGTGAAGTCTTCATTGTCTACGATAAACCCGTATTTCTCGTTACCTGAAAAGAGAGGAGAAAAATGTAACGTCTCAATATTGTTTTGAGGAGGAAACAATGACTAAAGAATAATAATAAAAAAAAACAGTTATGCTGACCAAGAAAATGAAAAATTGCACTTCTGTGAGCTACCGGACATTTTCGTGGAGGAAAAAATCGAGGAGAGAACAGTGCGAGAAAACAAAGATGGAAAGACTTTTATTAACTATCTAATGCATGTATGAAGCGTTTGGGAAACGATTGTGAGTCACACGGAACGGCTTCACGCGACTGCGCATATCGAAAGCAAACCAAGGTAATTCGAAACGCTTCTTCAGCAGTTAGCATACAATTTAAAGAAACCAAAAGATTTTAAAAATAAGCGGCAAACAATATGGGAATTTCGACAGGAAAAAAAAATCAGCGTGAATTCTAGAGGGCCGCGCAGTAGAGTACCGCCCGCTAAATTGACCTATCACACATGCTTGGTAAACAGATAAAAACACTAATTGAAAGTATTTGGTCTCACCATCTTCTCCAAAGTCATGCGCAGAACTTGTAGATATACTATTTAAGACTTTCAGAAGCTGTAGAATATCTTCAACTGCGGAGATGTCGTCAACAGGGGCAGGCTCCGTGGATGTTTTGTCTTGTTTCACTTCCTGTTTTACCTCTTGTTTTAATACCGGTTTCTCAAATGGAGGAGAGCTAGGTGGGGACGAGTCTAAATTGTTGCAAAATTCCTGACAGGAAAGAAAAGAGCAAAGGATGAGGAGAAATTTTCCTAACAAACCCCTTCCCCTAAAAAGGAAAAAATCAGAATTCGTTACGCACAGAGTCAGTCTCAATAGATCCCAAAAAATTATACACTAAATCATAGTAATAATTTTTTTCCTTTGAATCAACGCGAAACTGCTGTGTACAAGGAAATTCATCACTACTATTAACAACCATCGAGGAAATTGATCTTAAAGGCGTGGACGCCAGGGTTACGTATACAAGTTGTAGTGACATGGAGAATTTTGCGAAAACTTTTGTTCCTGAAACAGACCTATGTGCACGTATCAGTTTGCTCGCATTCAAACTGTTCACGATTTCATGGCTCATAAACTGAAGGTGGAGGACAGTGCAAATAAGATTTGTTTATTTTTGCCTTCACCCCAGGATGTCTTCAAGTGTCATACCTTGTAGGCTGCCACGAGTTGAGAACAGTTCCTGTTCTTCCTTATGCTCTTAGGTACGCCTGTTAACTTCCATTTTCTTTGGAATGCTGCGTCAGCATTTCTTTGAAGGAACGAGATTACCTCAGACTTAGGGAGCTCATCAGTGCCCAAATAGCGCTCTACATATGATGTCGTCCAGTGAACCTATGAATCAATCAAAAGTAAATCAATAAATAATCCACGATTCAGTCAATGATTTAATCAACGAAATAGTCAGTAACGGGTCAGTTTGGTTTCTCCGAGTCAGTAATTAATCGAGAGAAAATCAGTCAGCCAGAGGCAGTATGACAATCAATCAGTTGGTCGGCTGGTGCGTCACTGAGTCAGTTTATCAGTCAGCCGATCAGTCCTTCTGTCAGTTTGTCAGTCAGTCGGCCAGCGACTCTGTCAGTCTGTCTGCCTGTCGGTCAGCCGGTTAGTCGATTATTACGACAGAGCTTCCGTTAATTGCTTTCACAGTTGGCCTTTAATTCCACTTGATCGACAGATCCTGCCACTGTTTACCTGGTGGTCTTGTGACAGCATATCAACATTAAATCCTACCGTAGTTTCGGTCTCTTCTTTGGTTTCTCTTGGGTTTTCTTCTTGGTCAGGGCTGTGTACTTCACGATAGACGACGCTAGATGAAAAAAAAAATATATATATGCATAAATAGATAAATAAATAAATAAACAGATAAAATTAACTTGTACGAGGTTACATGCACGCAAAAACAAACCCAAGCAAATAGCCGACCTTAGTGTGCCTCACTTTTTGCCTTTATATACCTATACTACATATCTCTGATAACACTTACGTGTAAGTTGGTTCCCAGACTCTCCGCATTCGCTCATTTTTAGATATCCCAGTAGCCAGTGCGACCTTTTGCACATAAGAGAAAATGGTGGCCTTAGGGTCATCTAAACGAATTTCCACCTCAGGAAGCTTGAAAAAGAAAAAAAGACAACAACAAACTCAATATCAAGAAGTATCATTGTTTGTCTCGCAAAATGGTTTGGCTGGATGTAGAGCGAGACGTCTCTACTGCATGTTGCGGTTCTTCTTAAGGTTGCGACTGGTAGGTATTACCTCGTTACATACAGCACGGTTGCATGCTGTGCTGTGATTGCTTGGTTTTCAACAGCTGTGATTGGTGGATTTGTTGATCATAACAATGAATGCTTGGAAGCCTAAATTTGAGAATTGATTGACGTAAAATAAGCTGATAAAGGCGAGGCTTTTCACAGAATTATCGACTGGTTTCGAGGCACAGACATACGGAAAGCTAGGACAAAAGCTTCCATCTTCATGCATATTTTGTGTTCACTGCTTTCAGTTTGCGGGCCGTTTACGTCAAACTACTAGAAATAAAAAACGATTTATAAACAACATAACTGTTTAAGCTAGAAAAAAAGTGCCACGTCTAATGACACAACTCAGTATCTCGAATAGGCCCCAACAATAACTAGTTGAAGAATGGTTTGCAATGAAAACAAAACAAAGACCTTTACCGTTAACGAAGCAGGTCCCTTAAGAGTCAAGTAAAGGCGAGGTTCTACTGTTGGAGGTGTCATCTCTGTTGAACTACTTTCTTGAGAACCTGTTGAAGATATTGACACGATTGAATTTCCCTCCGTGTTTTTGATCCCTTGAACTAGTCGCAATTGATTTTAGTTTTTAGTTTAGTTCGATAAGAGAGTGGCGCGAGCTTTGGGAGCCAATCAGAGAACAAAGCGAAGCTAAATCAACACAATCCACGATTCCTTTCGACACTCAACTAAAAATGGCGCTGTTACGTTTCAGTGATGGTCTAAAAAGGGCATTTCAAACTTTCAGCCTGAACACTACCTGGTGCAGGAATCACAATATCCTGAGTTTGCGCAATGTTGGTTCGACCTGGTCTCGGATCAAACGCAGGCACTAGCGCCGAGAACTGTCTCTTGAGCACGTGCTCGTCATCCCACGTTCGGCGACGTCCACCACGTGACTCGGGCTCTTCTTCAACCTAATGATCAAAACGCAAACACCATGACGTTACAGACACACTCCTCTCACTGACCGTTGAATGTTATCGTTAATGTCAGTTTTGATATACCACTGGAATAAAAGTTGTGCAAATGAGCAACGGTGAACTTTATTCAAACACGCAAAGTAAAATGAGCTGTTAAGTGGAAACTTTTTTCATGAGCCATGAACCACTCCCATGAGTGACCACGACAAAATTTCTCCTTCCCATATCAATATAGTATCAAGCAAACTGATTATGAGAATATTGAAAAATAGTTGTTTGGAGATTATTAGTTGATCTAGTGCCAAGTTCTCTGAACTAAAATTAAAAGAATTGTATGGCAAACGAAGAGGATAATTACTGATGAGATCTTGAGGCGAAAGGGTCAACCAGTCTCGTTCCTTTCAGTTTTACTGCCACCACTTTGGAGCATTTCCCCCTTGTGAGAACCCTCTACACCCTAACATTAGTATGTACATTCTTCATACTGTTCTCTATACATGTCTTCAGGTTTTGACGAGGAGAATTTGTCTAATTATCAAAGGCTTCATCAGCTGGTGATTATTTCCTTTATTCTCCTGACCTTAACATGAGATTTTGGGGTAATATTGTTGGGAGAAATTAGATGCAAGTCACTCTTAAAGGTCAAAGTGCATCAGGATATTTTTCTCCGTTGTCCAAACTAGTTCAAAGGTGGTAACGTTGATCCTGTCAACATAGACTCATTAATCCACTCACTTCATAATCATCTTCATTCTCTTCATCATTCTCGTCATCGTCATCATCGTCATCGTCGTCGTCATCATCATCATCGGGTTCAGGAAGGTCATAATCATCCTCAAGTCCTGTCAACAGCCCTGAACCTCTCATAGCCACGTACATGTCCAAGTCAGAGGCCCGGGAGAGGCTGCTGGCTGCTGAGTTAGCCTCAGATACAGCTGAGCTCAGTAATCTGTAAGGAAACAGACGTTGTTAACTCTTTGAGCTGTAAGAGTAATCAGAAGAAAACTTTCTCTTCATAAAATCCGTTCATTATCATGAGTACAGGTCAGGAGAATCAGGGAACTGGTCATCAAAGAAACTTTGCCTGATCTTTAACGAATACTCACGAAACGTATCGGAGGAAAATAATTGATACTAACGACGAGAATTTATATGTTGACCATGGAGCTTTGAAGGATAGGACTCTACTCACAAGAACGATCAAAAAAAATACCTTTCCTCTCAATCGCCATTACTTATCAAGCAAACTGATCGGGATGGAAAAACGCAGAAACTGAATGTTATCATCTTGACATAACACCAACTTCTTTCCCCGAATCAGTTAGGAATTACTTAGCAGCTTAAAGAGATGCAACACCAAATTCTTTCCACTAACTAACAAGGAATTACTCAGCAGCTTAGGGGGAGAATTGATATTTAGATCATGGAATATTTAGGGTTCATAAAATGGATCGATCCGTAGCTATACACTCACTCAGAGCTTGAAGATAAGAATATTTTAAAACACATTTTTTTTGGACCACAGGTTGTAGCATAGTATGCGTCACTAGACAGCATAGCATGCGTTACTAGACAGACAACTTGAAGACTGAGTTTCTAAACACATCTTTGCCTACACCTTTCGGCCTTTTGTACAATGAGGTGAAGATATCTTGATTATTAGATTTCCTTTAGATCTACATGAGAATTCAGAAGAAACGTTTGCTCTTCGATTTTGCAATAAGCATGCTGTAAATCTATCACAAACTCTAACTATCTCGGGCTCTTCTTAATAAGCGTTTTTACCTCCTCGCAGTCTCCGCCACAGAAATATTAACAGATGCTGTCTTAGAACTAGAAGCTGTCTCCGTAACAGAGTTCAAAGGTTCAGTAACCACACCCTCCTCTTCAGTAATCTCTTGAACCTCTCCAACGGTCTCTTTGGGTTCATCAGCACTAGGCACTATCTCCGTACTGTCTGTTGTTTCCAACACTACCAGTGTGTTCCCTAAAGTTTCAATAACATCTTCTGAAGTAAAAACTCCTTCATCGGGGATCTCCTCAACACGAACAGCTTCAACTAGGGCCATGCTTGACACCTCGTCACTTTGGGACGTCGAGGAACTTTCCTCCTGACGTTTCTCTAGCGACTCGACTTCGGCTTCCTCGATCGAGGGTCCCTCCTCATATTGTCCTTTATCGCTTCGGGCTGAAGACGAGGGCTCTCCTGAAGAATCAGTTGAGGGACCTGTCTCTACCACGCGTAAGTCGAACTTTCCATCGGCTCCCATGCGATAAGAGTTTGAGGTACCGTTAGTCCAAGCTACTTCCACCCAACCTAAAATAGAATAATTCCACTTCAAAAGAATGTAAATGTTCATCTTTTATCCCTTTCACACCTAGAAGTGAGTAGTAATGGTAACAGGACTGAGTGGAGTCCAATACGGTCAGCTATCACACGAGTGATAAACAAAATCCGACCGAGAAGCGGGATGATTTATTTATTACGAGTGTGATTACAGACAGGATTGGGTGACACGACTTCCTGTTACCAATAATTCAAAACTAGTAAAAAATTTGAGAAAAAAAAACTAGCCACCGAGTTATAAGTTTTCATATGAACAACACTTAACTCGGCGAAATGCACGTCAAAGGCGACCGTACATGATGCATGCTGTCCAGTTACACAGGCATGACGCATACAATGTCCATAACACTGTCCAATTATAAGCGCAACACGCGCAGTCCTATTAGTGCAAATAGGCTGGTGGTAACCAATCAAAGTCGAGAATTTTGATATAGATTTTGATTGGTAGGGTATTTTCTCCAAGAATCTTAACACATTGTCCGGCACACATATGAGACCATAGAAAGACAAGGTCAACTTTCTCGCATTCGTAATGAGCACCTCGATCTTCCTAATTTCTAATTATCATTGACAAGATCTTGGTCGCCATTCCTTCATTCAAAAGTCTAAAGGGTCTATCAAAATCAGAAAACTTTAAGCTTCTTAATATTACATCTCAATAGGCACACACAGAGGTTTCATTAAAAGCCAGTTACCAGGGTCTATGCGATCTATTTAGCCAGCATGCAGGCTCTCTATTTAAGTTTCACCTTGCGGCCCCTTTTTGATTGCAGCCGCCTAATTTACCATCTGTTTATCAAAAAGGGTTTATTGAAACCCCTACATTCATTCGAATCACTATTCATAATCTCCCCCCTCCCTTCCCTACCCCACACTTCTCCACCCTCCCTTCCCTAGAAAAGCAAAAAAATCTGTTATCACCGTTACCGTTCTGCAGCTCCCCTGTAACCAGGCCCTCGCCGGGGGGACTTCCATCCTGGTCTTTCCACTTCCAGTCCACCCCTCGGACCACTTTGCTACCCACATTCAAATGCTTCAGCATCTGGGAGCGAATGAGGCGGCGCTGACGGCGTAAGGCGGCTTCCACCTCTCTCGCAGCCTTGCCTGGACTCAGAGACCAGCTGGGCTTCAGTGACTTAGCGAGTTTCTCACCAGCTGTACCACTCTTGGAAGAAGACAACTCTGGAGCTGCAAAAGGCAGTACACTCTATTTAGAAAAGCAATACATTTAATTTGAAAAAGCAACTTATCTGCTTGATACTTTACTGGTAGTGCGAGGAGAAATTTTGGGAGTGAAAGAGCAAGAGCTCTTCCACTGCGACTCACCCAGCGGTTCTTCAACGGCCGCCATTACTGTTCCGTACACTTCAAATCCCGATAAGGACAGATAATGGGTCTGACCACTGGCATTTTTGCCAGCTTGTTGCAAACGAACGTGTCTCCATCCTTCTTGGTCAGACGGAGGCTCCAGCGGCCAGGAAGCTGTTGACCTGTTGATAGAAGGGGAGTTAAGGCATCTGTCTTGATCCAAAGAAAATTAGTAAAGGTAACATCAGAACTTATTTATTATTTCATTACTATTTACGGGATCGAGGATAGCGTAGTAGTGAGATCATTCTCCTTGATCCTCGTGGTCTGGGTTCCATTCTAGGGAACTGGCGTCGCATGTTGGAACTCTCCTTCGCTTCGAAAGTTTTTTTTTTTCAGGATCTCTAGTTTTCCTCTCTACCTAAAAACCTACACCTGAAGTTAGAGCAATTTTCCAATTGAGTGTCGAAAATAATCCGGGAATTTTTTGTTTGCTTTTGCTTAACTTCGCTCTGTGATTGGTCACTCTCTCCATGTTTTCCCGCATTTTCGGCAGTTGGATTGTTTTCACTTCGAGTTTTCATTGGCTCTTTAAGATGTTTTCATTTCTCTGATGGGCTGTTGTGATTACTTCGGTTGCTTTTTACAATATTCACTCCCAGAGTTCCGGCACTATCGTCAATTTTTTTGGCTATTTTTTTCTTTGAATTATGCGACGGAATTTGCTGAAAAGGAGCCACTGCTCTTGGTCTAAAATAAGACACACGCACGAGCGTAAACGAGCGACAGTTCACAATAAATTCCCAGTGAGGAAGATTTCATACCCGGGTTCATTCAGCGAGTTATCATCTGTATGAGTATAGAGTGTTGTCCAAGTCTTTCCATCCTTACTCACTTGGAAAAGCCAGTTGCGAAGAGCAGACCTAAGAATCGATTTAGCCAGGTAAATATAATTTGTCATTGACTCATTCAAAACTAAAACCTTGAAGTTCTCAACTTTTAAAACAAATTCTGTCCTAACAATAAACAGTTTGAACCGTGACGTAACATTTGAGCGTGTGGACTTATCATTGGGATAAGAGAAGTCCTGGGAGGGACTGTTGTCGGTAGCAGTGACTGACGTTCCGACAGACTGAGCAGAATTCCTCATCAGATCTAATTGGTAATTCTCCTCACTGAGTGCCAAGCAATTCTTAAGATGTTGATTTGGAGAATTTGGCATTGGGTGGACTAATGATCATCTAATTGATAGGTCTCATTATTGTCATCACTTGTCTGCGTGATACTGTATTGAAATTGTAGGGAGAAATTATTTCTTGGTCACTTATGGGAGTTCAAGGGTTAAAAGTACTTCTTCCCGCTTGCCCTTGAGTGCTTACTTTAACTCAAGTTTCTATTCGCTTTAATCCGATTATGACTTCTTGAACGAAGGCAATTATATTAAATTACCGAAGCATTGTGATGTTCTAGACAGTACAGCGATAAATTTGAAGTTAAAAAAGATAGTTCATTCTTGTCGAGATTAACTGTAATGAGCACGTCACCGCAGAGGATCAAGAAACTCACCTTCCATACCCACGCGCATGCCTGAGTGTATAACAGGTTGGTCTAAACCAAACGCCTAGATCAATGGCAAACCAGGCATTTCTGTGGGAAAAAAAAACAGTCAACGTCAGAAACTGCAGCTGACTGAGGGATTTGGGTTCCGATGCGCACTAAAATCGGATAATTTTCGGTATCCTGCCAGAAACATTTGCGAGCTGAGATAATTGACTATGAAACAAGAGTACCCCAAAGCGAAGACTTCCAACTGTAAATTTCAAAAGTCCTTTTTTTTCTCTACCACTAAGTATTCACACACCCTAACAACAAGAGCAGCGATTGCTCCTCGCAACACGACTTACTTGTCATCGTTGGTGTGACAGTTGAGCGCTGCAGCATCCCTACTCAGGATGTCCTCGACCTTCCCATAAGGCAGTCCTCTCCCCTCTGAGGTACTGACTGCCACGATCCCAACTGAACCAGGGTTAACCCAGTCAGGAGTGGACTTTCCGTTAGTACCAAGCCAGTAAAGGATACCGTTCTCGTCAAAATCCTGCATGTGAGTGAAGCTGGTCTTGTTTCCTCCTTTGAGGAGACGTACAAAGTTAAAGGTGCTTCTGTCGTGGTCATACCATTGCTTAGCAACCTGAGGAAACGAAAGAAAGAGCACTTTTGATGGAGTGTCAAAAAAGAAAAAAAACACGGAAGTATGCAAGTCACCAAATGTCAAACAAAGACGATGTAGTTGTGTGAAAGTTGCGTTTACAGTTGAGGGAGGGGAGGCTGCCAGAAGTAGAATCCGTACGAATACATAGTCTCACCATTTTCAAAAGATATCGTTCTAAATCTCCCACAGTTGTTAGTGGTTCCATCTTTAAAGTTCTTCCTGTTCTATCAATTAGAGAACTCTCTCCTGGCGCTCGTTCTAACTGGAATCTTAAACGCCTTGCGAGCACCTGAGAAGCAAAATCAAGCAAAATAAGTTGAGAGCGAAGGTATTTAAACCAAAGCTTTATCTGTATTTGATTCCTGTGTTATTTTTCAATGTACTTCTGGCAAGACCTAATTTAAATCACGGCAGAGTTCTGTACCCCCTAACCTCTTTTTGACTAGCAAATATAGTTTGAAGTAAAATTTTAGCGGAAGTACTTCCCTCTCGTTACATAAACGAAACATATTTATGTCATCAATTAGCTTTCCTACCGCGATCTTTGGGTTAAACTCTTTTTATTTCTTGACAACCTCATAACACTAGGGTAGGTTAGGCTTGTTGCATCTTAAAGTTTAGACTACGAGAATTCTCTTCCCTTCGACGAAGTCTGTCGCGCGAGTGCAAAAAATCAGCGAAAAAAAGTTCACGTCGATGCACTGCAGGACTTGTGCGACGGACTTCTCCGAATATAAGGGACAACTCGTAGTCTACTGACAGTTTACAGCTATAACTTTAACACACCTGAAGACCAGATCCTGGGCATTCGTAAGTCAAAAGAGGCAGCTTCTCTGTCGACTCTAAGACAGCCACTAGCTTCTTCACAAGGATCGTTGCAGATGAAGCTTCATCAGTACTGCAAAGATACGTCACAAACAAAAATTGTAAGGCAAAATCAGATGATTTGTATTTTAGGTGATTTCAAAGAAAGGTAAACCTTGATCATTAATCTATCCACGTACTTTTCTTCGTTCAATTGGTCTTCTGTTTCTCCAAAAGCCGACTTGAATACTTCTATTCTTTCAGCGATGCATTCCGCTGCCCGGTTGTTGGCATTTTCGTTGTCGGAGGGCACAGTTTTACCATTCTGAAAGATGATAAACAAGAATTAAATAAACACCAGGTTACAGTACTTGTAGAGAAAAGCAAAAGATTGATGACAGCTCTGGACAAGTAGATTTCCCTGACGAACGAGAAAAGAGAGCAAAGTCATAAAGAAGCAACACCTTAATCCAGTCGCACACGGTCTTAACTTGCGTAGGTCATACGGAGGCTTAGACAACAATCAGTATAGAGGCTACTGTACGTTAATTAATTTACCGCTGTGAAAATTGCTCTACATACGAAAACTGAATAAATATAGCTATTGTATGATGTATCCTACCTGGTGAAGACAGCGTAGAAGGGCTGTGACCAGTCCTGTTGATTGTAGCTCGTACGATGAAACAGTGGCGTCATCTTGTAGCACTTGCAGAAGGCCTTTCAGCGCAGTAAACATTTCTTCTCTCCAAGATTCTTTCCCATCCCCTCCCTATCGATAAAAAGTTAAAGAATAAAGATTCAGTCTACATACACGTACGAAACTAAATTTCATAACATAATTATTGAGGTTTTTGTAGCATAAAGACTACTACTACTTCCCGGGATGCTGGGATATCACAGTTATCCCCACCACCCCTACCCCTCAACCGCGGCATTTTTTCCCGAATCCCTGGCATACTGCTTTTACTCATTTCTACCCCTAGATGGAAAGACGCACTGTGAGGGTTAGTTGCCTGATCCTGAACACTCGCCTAGATTAAAATAAGGAAATAAAATTATTTCACCAAAATATCGGACTAACTTCTAAAATTGAAGTGCAGTAATTGGTATGGCGCATTTTCGCTCAACCCTTCAACTCGCACGGTCTAATTTTTAACTCCCCCCTCTAACTAATAAACATGTCCTTGTAACTTAGTTATGATAATTTTGCGCTCGATCAAGATAACAACTTTGAGTATTCTCATTACCTGTTTGTTGAATACTGTATGGGTATTTTAAGGAGAAGTTACATGCTAATCACTTCTGAGAGTTCAAGGGTAAAAGTAAATTTGGAATTGATTAAGTACAAGAATAACACTTCAATCGTCTCACAGGCACTCCAAACAATCATTTTATCTGCATTCAGGCGTATCAACTAAAACTCACTAAGCCTACCTTGGTAAGATTTTCTTGCGATAAACACGCTGAATGCAGCTGCGAGACAATTTCCTGTAACTTGGCCACAACTTCACGAGGTGTGGCTTGAGCAGCCAGGAGATATTTCTCCTGAATCTCAGCTGCCAAATTCCTGATCTTCAGCTTCTGAGCCTCGACCTTCGACACAAACCGCTTCCCTCTCTTTCCCATCCAACCAGCAGCGAACTCAGGCCCCAAGGAGGTCTCGGCATTGAAGGTGTGTTTTGTGCCTCTGTTTGACTCAAAAACAAAGCCAGCAAGATCTTCACGGAGTATAGTCGCTTGTTGTCCATCGGCATTGTGTACAGATACTTCTTTGTCTTTCGTGCACGTCAGCGACCAGTTACCCACAGAGAGTCGAGTGGAGCTTGGTGAAGACAGAAGTGGCTGGCTTGGTGTCCCGAGCTTCACCTGGCCTCGGGCTCTCTGAAGTTTTTCAAGGAATTCTCCTCTGCTCTCTACAAAAGGAAGATTTTTTAAAAAAACTCCAGAACTAACTAACAACGATAGACTTACACATGCATTCCTGAAAGAAGAGCTCTAAATTTTCCCCGATAAGTTAGAAAAAAAAAAAGAAACTGTTTGGCTTGAAGCATTAAAGTCCCGCAAAAAAGCCGCAACACTTAATAACCTTAATCCAATTGAGAAAACTTAACAAGGAGTATGCAGGAGAAGGCTTTTTCTTCAGTTCTAAAAGTGTTTCTGTCCCTTTTTTCACAGAAAGATATCAAGACGAGGTAAAATTCCGTGCAATTTTTCCATTGCGTTAAGAGACCTGTATCTCAACCATATGCCGCAATAAGGATGTGAAATTAATTTTCCTTCCTTGTTTAAGTTCCCCTGCTTGTACAAGAACTCGAAGTCATCTTCGACCGCAAAAAAAATGTGCAGTGCGAGTTACTCCCAGATCACATCAATATGTGTTTTTCGCTGCATTTTGACTCGCGCGACGAACTTCGCCAAAAGGGGGAGACTGCTCGTAATCTTAATGAGGGGTGCGACGAACCCTTACCAGATGAGTCCGATCCTCCTTCTGGACTTCCGCTTGAATACATCGTTGCAAGTTTTCCATCCAAAATAAAGCGGAACCAGCCATTACTGCCATTAGAAAGCTCCAACGCACATGACTCATTCCAAAGATAGAGACAATCGCGGCTGCGCACAATACACCAGTCGTGCCAATGATAGGGCTTGCCTTGTTCAACGTCGCTGGCATCTTCTTGAACTGTATCCTCACCCTAAAATGAAATTTTGCCTCGGTTAGAACAATCGAAGTGAGTATCTTCGACGGGCAAAAATTTATGGAAAGTTTGGACATTGCGTCATCGAGTACTTTAGTGGTGTGAATATTAAAACCGAGTTGTGCAGTGTCTCGATTAGTATAAGGTATAATAGCAATTAGTTTCCATCCCTCTTGGATGGAATGTTATTTCATCACAGGTAGACCCCCGAAAATTTCCTAACTTTCCCGGCTTAAGTCTTTGATCCCTAAGAGTGACCAGCATCTAATTTCTCCATACAACATCACCCCTGAATCAAACATGAAGGTCACGAGAATAAAGGAAATGATCACCAACTAAAGAAGTTCTTGATTATTGAACAAATTCTCCTTGTCAGCATCTTAGGAAATGCATAGAGAACAATACGGAGAATTTACATACTGATGTTAGGGTATAAAGGGTTAACAGCTTGCTGGCCGGTACCCATTCCCACCCCTGGATGGAGAGAAGCACTGTGAGGGGAAATTGTATGGCCAGGAATTCAACAGGCTTGACTCCAGACCCCTCACCATTCTGAGTCTAGCCTCCGCTCATAACTGCACCATACCTTTTTCTCAGTCTCCTCTTCATTTTCTTTCACTGCTGGTTCCTCTTGCACTGTTTCCACCTCCTGCATTGGTCCCGCCAGCTCGGTCACGTGGCTGATGACTCCCAGACGAGCCAAGTGGCTGATGTATGTTTCCTGGCACTTCTCTAACAAATCCTCTATGATCTGCAGACCTGTCAAATGGCCATCATCGTCATCCTGTGGAGGTAACAGAAAAAAGTGAATTATGGCGCAATTACAGCTGTAATTACTTTGTCTTTCTATCTCTTAAGCTGTTGCCTAAAATACGAAAAATCATACTATTTGATAATGACACCAGATTTAATAGTTACTTGATGTACGTGTATGGTTCAACCAGCGTCTTTGATGCACACAACCAGTCTAATCAAAAGCTCACTTCACGTTTTTCCCTCCTTGGAGTAGCTCATTAGAGTTTGGGGCGCATTTATCGACACCAAAATGTAGCATTATTTAATCTTTTAAGACTCAGTAATTATCTCATCCGAGCTAATTATGAGTAGAATCAATTTAATGAAGCACAAAACTAGTCAAGTGATACAATGCAAGGTTATTCTCACCTCATGATCCAAGACCACTGACAATACTTCCACAATAACTGAGGCAAATGTTGAATTTTGTGACAGCTCTTCCAGCTGAGCTTGTGATGCATAATGGATCATTTTTCGCATCAAAGCTAAAGTTGCCTTCCTAATACTGGGCATCATTGTCTCCTTGTAGTTTTTAGCAAACAATGGCAGGAGGTTTTTAAGGTAGACCGGCGCCATTTCTGGATCACCTTTCACTTCTTCTGGTTCTTCTTTCTTCTCTTCCTCCTCAGCACTGGCGGGTTCTTGACTGGCTGTTGGTTGTTCCGGTGCAGGGGAAGGAGTGGAACTACTTCCCACAGGAACCATCCATTCACCTATAAAAAAAACCATCAGTGATGAGCATGCCTCCTAACCCTTATACTCCCATAAGTGACCAAGACAGAATTTCTCCTTACAATATCGATACAATATCGAGCAGGCAAGTGATGAGAATAAAGGAAAATATCAGTTATGAGATTATTAATTGATCCAATATTACATTCTCAGAACTAATATCACAAGATTCTTATAGAAGACGATGAGGAGAATTACTAATTGCTTTGAGATTGAGGATCACTTAGTATTTTGATTTTAGAATTTTGTCGCAAGATTCGAGTTCTTGCAGGATTTTTTGAAGAAAGGATGCAATCCTGCAAAGTAGACCAGTAAAAATGGACGAAAAACTGGTTTGGGGAAAATCTTCAAATCTCAGAGCAGAAAAAAATACAATACCTGGTGATTGTAGAATATGTACAACTTCCCTGTGGCCTTCGTCATTTCGCTCTCTCGCTTTATCCATTGGAGTTTTACCATCTTCATCTCTTAGGTCAGGATTAGCACCATGCCTTAGCAGAGTCTTAAAAAATGACAAAACCAGCAAAGTTACAACAGATAAGGCTACTCAACTATAGATTGCATCTGGAATTGAAAGTAATGACCAAACGGAAAGACTTAAGTGTCCCCTAGGAAAAAGATATCCTAACAATGTGAGATGCCTTCCAATCTGATAGATGAGACCCCATCAAGGGCCAATGTTAGATGAAGTTTGTACCACCTGATTCAGTCTGCCTGCAGTCTCTTGTCATGCCAAAAAACATTTGCTCATTTTGTCATGATATTGCTGTCATGAACAACAATTTTTATCCTTCCCTTACCCATCCCTGAGTAAAAAAAAAATTTCCCTGTGTATGTAATGACACAATTTCATGTTGTTTTAGTTCTTCGTGGAGAAATACTACCAGTTGCACTATGCATTAGGGATTTGGCCCATCAGTATCAATATGCAGGCAGTTCATGTACATGTAGATCACCTTTGCAACAGCAGGTCTACCAAAGCAAGCAGCGTAATGTAGAGATGATGACCTCTGACCTCTATTGACATCTGCTCCTCGCTCACAAAGATATTCCACCTAAATGATAATGTTGATAACAGTTACAAAACTGCAAGTAATCCTGGTAAGGTGTCTTATGGTCAGTAATCAAGTTTGCAGAATGCACATGTAATGACTGCAGAATGCACATGAAGGTCTGATGGAACTTCTTGCTTTGTTAACATTTCAAGTCTTGTTTCAAGTAAGGGCCACACCATTTTGATGAAAACATGCATTTTCGAAATTTCTGATTTTAGTAGGGGGGACATTCATTGCATTTGAGGCTAGCATAAGGCTTACTGTAGTTCACCACTAGGGTCTCTATAGCTCAGTGGTTGCAAGAAAAATCTAAATGTCTACTGTTTGATTTCTTGTTGAGAACTAACAAATTTTTTTAATACCACCCATGTGACAAAATAAACAATACATGTACAGCCAGTGCTTATTAAAAATACCCAGAAAAACATTCTCAAACCTGTAAAGCTGCAAGTAACCTACCATCTCTAATGTTCCAAATGCTGAGGCCCAGTTGAGAAGTGTCTGTCCAACATCATCCATAAAGTTCACCTCAAATCCACCTGCAGTTTAAAGATATGCAACCCTATATATAAGTCCCAGCACAAAGCAATTTCACAAACAGATCTGCTTTAGAAATCTAGAGTCAAACATAAAAGTACAACAAAAATTCACTTCCTTTAAACAAATTGCTAAAATGTTCATTAACTTCAGGCAGTATGATCTCGATCATCAGCATAAATGTTCCTCATGGAATGACTGGCACAATAAGACATGACCAATAATGTCAAAAATTTAGAGGGAGTGTCAGGGGAATCTTCTGTACTCATTATCACTTTTGGATTTTAAAGGGTTACAAGCTTTCTAGACTTGCACTGAAACTTGGAGAGAATGATTGCTTCCTCAAACATTAAAGAACAACTGGCTCAAAAAAACATTTTCTGTGTAACATGTCACTTAGAAAGCACAAAGAGCCTTCAGGTTTCGGCAATTGGCTGCACAAGACTTTCCGCTAAAAGAAGTTTAACAAAATTAAACAAATTAAGGTAATCTTACCATTTTCAATAGCATCTATGACTGCATCTGTGTCCTTACTTCTGATGCAATCAATAAGCTGTCTGTGTGAATTCTCATGTGACCTGTCAAACCTTCGTAGACTGGCAATCCCTCCCTTGGGAATACTGACACAGGACTTGGGCAATGCACATCGTCCCTCAAACAACAGAACCAGCAGGAGATCCACCAGTCGCATGGTGTCCAGAACACATCTTTCATCACCTTGTAGGGCTTTTTGAATAGCGTCTGGCAGTCCTGCTCTTAATAAATCCTGGAAACACATGAAATGAGCACAAACAAGGTATAAATTTTCATTTGTGGAATTTCACTTTTTATGCCCTATTCCAGGTGTATCTTCTTAAATGTAAAAGCATGTTCCAAATAAAAAATAAAGCAAATATAATGGAGACCAAGTTTTACATGCAAATGCGATGCAATTCTGTAAGATGTCAGGAGTTTGCAACAATAAAAAAAGATTACACCAGTAAAAAGATTATCTTCCATAAAAATACTTTTGTTTTGAAGTCTGGAATCCACAGCTTACAACTGTCAAACTAAAAAGAACTTTCCTCACTAACAAGTTGTACCCCTTTTAAAAACCTTGTCACAGGAATGAAATACATACGTGAGTAACACTTGGTGATCCCCTGCACAGTGTTGATAACAAACTGACAATGGTGGAAACTGATGTGCTATTGCTCTTGGAGTCAGGGGTGGCTCCATTGCCTCCTGTTTTGTCACCAGCAGCAACTGCAGCACTTGCTAGCCTGTCTAACAACTCACTGGTCAAACCATGTTCAGCTAATGGAGCTGGATCAACACCGCGGCGTGTAAACCGATCAGCAAGGGATGCAAAGCACCGGAGAGCACCATCAGATACCTGCAGGGATCACCAACAAATGAAGCTTTCTTCTTAAGAATTGTAGGGGAGACACAGTGGTCTAATAAAGGGGATAAGTTTCTAAAAATGGTGCTGCGTCGGTGGGAGAGCATAACAAGGAAATTTAGTATTAACAACTGAGTTGATAATGAAAATTGGCCACCATTAAGAGTTTTTAAGCTAAAGTTTGTAGCATTACCCCTTTGTCCATTGCTCTAATGAAGGGCTAATGATTGAAATGTCAGCTTTGAATATCAACTCAGTTGTTAATACTAAATTACAAAGTGGTCTACTAGTTTCTGCATTGCACTCCTGGGTGGTTGTTCCAAAGGTGGTTGGCAATAATTCAGGATCAAAAATAATATATAGATTTAGCCAAGCTTAAAAGCGGAGCTTGCATTTTTTTTTCCTGCAAGTTTCAAGCACACAACGCCTTGCCTCGACCAGGACTAGTTTGTTGTTCGACTCGGAGGTTCGACTCGGAGGTTGTTTGACTCAGAGCCCAGTGCACTGACCACTGGACTACTGAACAAAGCCGTAACGTTGGTGTACTCGCGGTACAGTTGACCATGCATGTTAAAAGTAGCACCTTGTGTGGTCATACATCTGAATTTTTTCGGCTTGATGGGTTACTACTATTTTGTATAATTATGAGGCTGTGCTCTGTGAGCTCCACTATAACTTTTCCTTAATTTCTCAGAAAATAAAGCACATAGTAGGGTTTACATTGTGAGGTGTTTTACCCTAAGTTCAAGTAAGACTAAACCAAGGGAAAATACAAACAATTAAAACTGTCTGAAAAGCTTTATGTACAAAACTAAATAAAAAATTGTTGCCTCTATACTCCCAGGAACATCAATGGGAACCAACAAGCTATCAAATTCAGAGCTGTGGGATATACATGAAGCTATCCATAACACAACTTCTTAACCCATTTATAAAAAAAACTTTCATCTATTAACCAACTGTCATTTGTAACATTATCACCAACAAGATCTCAACATTGATTCTCCTTACTGTCTACTCTTGATTTCCTATAATGTTATGGGTAGTTCTGAGAATATGGTGCTGGATCAAATAACTAATATATTTTTTGTTATTCTCACTACTTGTCTGCTCAGTATTTTATTGATATTTAAGGGAAAAATTACACCAGTGTCACTCATGAAAGTGAAAGAGTTATATAACACAACTGTAAGAATCTGTCTGAACACTTATTACTTACATATGGGTCTTCATGTTTCAGTAAAGTTGAAAGCGACTTGACACAAGTTTCCAAGTTAGAATCTTGTGGCTCCATCCTTCCGCATAACCTGGACACTACATTCATGGCTGAATGTAGAGTGTCCTTGTGCACAGAACTCCCAAACTCGCCAATAAATGTCAGTGAACACTGGAGACCCCCTGCCTCAAACACAGCTCCAGCTTCTCGAGTACATATAAGTTCCAGAACCTAAAGAGAAAAGCATAGAAATTTTTCGACTTGCATCTTACAAAAAGAAAAAGGCAGTTGGTTGATAGTAAAAGGGCACCAAGGTAACATTTTGCAAGACAACTTGAGAACAAGTTTCTAGAAAAATTTACTGCGTGTGACAGTGAGAATGTTTGTGAAAACTTCTACCCCTGAAACAGAATTTGGGTTGTGAAAAAGATCCTTGAAGTTGAAACTGGTTTGAATTAGTGCTGGTACAAGAGCAGTGAGCAAATGAATTACTAGACTTGTTTTGGAAGCAGTAGCAGTCACACACAGAGCATTTTGTTGCAAAGCCCTTCACACCAGTGTGTAACCTTATTGCAATCTGACCTAACCTCAAAATATCAATAAACTATTCTTAGTGAAATATGTCTTAACCCTTGATGAAAGTTCAGAATTTCAAACACTGGTGTAAAATATCTCCACGATCTCTTTAAACATTGCAAAGTAATACCAGTGCACGTGGAAAACAAATGTTTTTTTTTAAACTATTTCAATTTAACACGAAATGATATAGCATATTAGTAATAGCGTTTCCTTTACGTAAGCGCAATGAACTTATTACCCTTCAGTTGTACAATGTAGCACAATCACACTGCATGTAGCTGAAGTTAATACTAATGTACAACAAAGCAATATGTAATTTTCTATCCTGACTTACTTTGACACACTGTTCTCCCAGATCTTTGCTAGTCCTTGATGATAAATCAACTACAACAAGTCGGCTACAGAGGGCCTTAATTGCTCCTTCCACCGCAACAATCCGTCTGGTGCATTCTGCTGACACATCAAGGTAGTAAGTGATAGCTCTTGCAGTTACTTCCAGTACATTTTCTGGTGCGCACTCATCCAAGAAGATACGACACAGAGCTGGTAGAAATGTTCGTGGTGGACAGCTGCAAAGGAAAAAGTGAAGTACATTAACTTAAAAAACCAAACAAAAAAGCACCTATGACTAAGAAGTAAAACTTGACAGGTCCTGGACATCAGAAAGGTAAAGTCTGCATTTCAAACAAGTGAAATGTACAGGAAATATTGCCACTATTTCCTTAATAAGAAGCCAGCCCCATTCCAGGTGACCCTACCAACATTTGGTCAGATTTCCTGTGACCTGTTGATACTCTTAGCTGGACAGAGGCCTTGTGAGAGTGAAGTGTCTTACCCTTGAACACAACACAGTGACCCAGTCATGTCTCACATCTGGATCTCTTTACCTTAAGTTCACTGCATTAGAATGAAAGGTCTTTCAGAATGAAAGCTTGTGATAATTTTTTCTAATCAGATTGGCAGCCTTGCCAGAGCATATTTTGATAGTGTGGCACATTCCAAATTTCTGATGGGAACTACTTTAAATGACTTCCTGTCCAAGCTGGCAAAATATCACAAAGAAATCCAAAGGTACATCTCTATCTTTCACTATTTCCAATATTGCAGCAAACTCTTAACATTCAAGACAGTTCAATGAATTCTTACAAAACTCTTTCATTAGAGAATAACTGTACTAGACTAAAGGTGGTAAATATTAGAAGCCTTTAATTATCAGGAATATTTTTGGTATATATCACATTTTTAACTTTTGGAATGTTATGGGTTGTGGGCACATTAAACCACACCAAAATAGGTGTTCCTCGATAAGCTTCCCCACTCCTGAAATCCCCATCCTTCCTTTCATTCTTTGCCTCAAACATTTTACATTCACAGTTTACAGTTGTAAGAAGTGTAAAAGGTATGTGAGGCTGAATTTTTCCACTTGGGTCTAATATTTTTAGAAGAGGAAGGCCTTGATTTCAAGCAACCTTATGAAATATACTTGAGATCGAAGTCAGATTTTTTCCTCCAGTGCCAATATAAGCAAAATAGACAACAGAACATTAGCTTATCAGCACTCTTCGTTACGAAAAATATAGCTATGTTTGCAACGTTAAGCCGAAGAAGGAAATTTAAATGATAAATGCCGTATATACACATCTTTCTAATTATAGTTAAATTAAGCATATAAATGCTGTCCACTCTTTCATTTTTTAATCACGTGAAAGGCCTTGGCCTTCAATTGAGATCATCGCCTCTTATGACACATTGTACCAATACAGTCTTTATGATCGTTTTATTGTCAACCAGACATCAAATAATTACATATCGTTGCAAAATAAATCATCTAAAAACCCGTATTGATTAAAGAAAAAACTATTATAGGCATATATATGATGATTTCTTGCGGAGTAATGAAGTTAATCCCTCGATAAAATCACCGAAACATGAGCTTTTTCCATTGTCAATTTCACGAATAAGTCATTTATATTAAAACTCATTATTTTACTTCTAAAAAGGCTCACGTAAGTAGTTTTCCCATGGTTTGGACTAAACAGTTAGCTATACTACACTAGTTAACGAAGAAATAGTAACGAAGGGTGATTACTGATTGCAAAACAAATTTTGCAGTTATAGTTTTCGCTATCATTTACCAAAACTTAAAAGCTGTCGTACCTCTCAAAACACCGGTCGATGTTGTCCGACATCAGAAGTAACATACATAGTTGTTCCAACGCGATCAACTGCATGTCTCGTTCGTCGCCCTGTCCCATACTTAGCCATTCTAGCAGTGTGTCTGGATCGACGTCTACCATTTTCACAGACAGGGAAATAACAAAATGAAATAAAACTTTTCACGTAGGACAAAGGTCCAAAACTAAGGCGATCGACGTCTTCGCTTTCGAGTGAGAAGAATATTCAACTTTGTTGTCAACACGTGAAAAAGTGTGTTCGTTTTGTAGTATTTTTCCAGCGGATTACTTGTCAGTGAAGCTCAAAAACAACACGAACTGTCGTCGATACTTCGTGTCACGGAAATGCACTCAACCTTTTACACGGTGACTCCTCGTGTTTCCTGCCGTATGCCGACAAATATTTCTTCTCAATTAGGAATTACAACGCGTACTAAACCCCGCCATCAAGCCTTCTACCACGTAAAGGAAACTGTGTTGCTTCGAAAACATCTAATGCCGAAAATAGTGGATCATTACAGCCCACATAGCGCTTAAACTTTAACTCGTTATTCGTTCTTATTAATGTAATGTTGTCAGATACACTTTCGCACAAACAAAATCTCTAGCCTCTTTTAGAAGTCGAATAAACGCGCGGAGATTGGGACTTAGTAGATCCCAGTTCCCTACAGGCAAGTTCTTAGGTTGTGTGTGACAATTGATAACGTTTCGGAAGAACTGTGTTTTGTGGCTGAAATTTGTCCAAATGGAACCGAGTTTGGATTGTAGAACTCCTCCAACATCACCAGAGCTAAGCCGTTTAAAGACCAAGCGTCGATGCCCATTTGGAGAGTCTCCTCAACCTTTGAAGGTCCCGGCGTCTGAAAGCGTAATGGCGCGCGATGACAGTTCCACACGTACAACTGATCAAAGTTCCACGTCAATCACTGGTACGCACTAAAAGACAATATTTTTAAAAAAACTTGTGGCCTAGGATGGATAACTCGAAGAAAATGATCGCATTAGTTTTAAACCATTTAATTTTAACTTGTAACTTGTCTTGCTTTCTTTTCGCTTCCCGATTTCACTTGGAAAGCGAAGGAGAGCCTTCGCTTAGAAGATTTCCGTATAACCCTGCACTCTTCGTAACAAAGCTGTAGTCCTAAAGGTAATATCGTTTTTTCGCCGTTTTTCCCTTTATCCAAGAACTGTATGCATAATAAAATACGGGGCTCAGCTGTGCAGAAATTTTGCCTAGTGCTTTGGTATTTGCACTCCCCCCCTTCCCTAAATGACAAAATTTGGGGATTTTGGAGTTGGTAAGTACTATGTAGTACGTTCCTTTAGGGTGGTTTTATCGAATATCTTGAATTTGATTCTGCTTACTCACAAATTAACTTGTGTGTTTTTAAGTAGAGCCATTTCTGGAATACAACCAAAGATCACCCTTTAAATATGGTACCTTTCAGCTTGTGCATTTGAGGTGCTCATGAACAGCCAGAGAAGTCAAAGGGATGCTGTCCATACTTCTCCACTACAACCAGCTGTGACTAGTTCTTCCTGTCAATGTTGGATTTGTCACCATTATGGTGATTCTATGCCATGTGCATTCTGTGAACACAGTGTTTGTGAGATGTGTGTGCGTCAATGTGACAGATGCTTTGGAGTATTCTGTGCTTTCTGCTCCACTATCAACTATGATAATCATGAAGAGCGTCCTTTGTGTCTAACTTGTCACCACGAGGAGCTGCGCTGGCAGCAAAACAGAGCAGCCCAAGAAGTACAGCAATCAGGAACTTGGGAAAGGCCAGGGATGGAGGTCTACAGGCCACTTATGGCATAGCACATCACATATACACTGCTTTGTAACATACATGTATATACCACAGACTTTCTACCGGTTTTATCATTGAAGACCCTTACTTGGAAGAGCAATTTTTGTTACCAGTAACCTAACATCGGTATGTACATTCTCCATACTTTTCTCTATACATTTCCTGAGGTTCTGACTTTTCTCTATACATTTCCTGAGGTGCTGACAAGAAGAATTTGATTGAAGTGCTGGTGATCATTTCCTTTATTCTCATGACCTTAATGTGTGATTCAGGGGTGATTTTGTATGGAGAAATTAGATGCTGGTCACTCTTAAGGGTTAACGGGTTAAGTTTATGTTTATTTGTGAAATTCATATCCCTTAACTCTTTAACTCCCAGAAGTGATGTTTTAACCTGTAACTTCTCCCAACAATATTCATACATTATCCATCAAACGGGTAATGAGAATACTTAAACTTATCAGGTTGAAGTTATTATCTTGATTTAAAACCAAATTCTTGTAACTATTTTACAAGGAAATGTGTAGCAGCCAGAGGGGAGAATTAACAATCAGAGGGTTACTGGTAATCCTTTCACTTCAGTGAGTGGAGATAGTGCTCAGCATTGACTGGCTAGAACTGTGTGTAAGCTTTTATACACACTAAGTTGCATAAAGGTTGTTACCTAAAAAGCCTTCGCAATGAATGATGAGACCCCCCGCTACACCTATATGGGTCAGATGTTAATAATCACCACCATTAGTTGCATGTGGTGAATGATGGAAGCTATCCAAACTTTGCTGGAAGAAAAGGGTTTTCATCAAAAAATATTTTCCATGAATGAGAAGAGAAGTGAATATTAGAGGCTTCAAAATCCCCCTGGCAACTGAACTTT